TACCATTCATTGTAATACAATTTTTAGTGCCACACCATTTTCTGCATCCTCTGAAACTCATACAATCAGCGCCTGACTCAGAATGCATATACCAGGGGTTGAGGTATTTTCTGCACTGTTCATCATGCTCACAGAGATAGGAAAAGCCAATCCGTCCTTTCAAGTCTCAAATAAGGTTGAGAGGGGCAGCTTCCTAATGCAAATACTGTAGGAAGGATGAGGGCACTTAGGGAGGCCATAGCTATGTCTGAGATGGCTTAGTTCTCACCCACGAACCCTGTTTGTGAGCTAAGTACTGGATTTTCTTGTTTTATTTTATATGTAACTTAGTAGTTATATCAAATAAACAGTGGTATAAAATATGTTTAGCCTTTCAGAACAAAGAAACAAAGAGAACAAAGAGTTTAAATATACAGGTACTTTCTCTCTCTCTCTCTCTTTCTCTCTCACTCACTATCTATCTATCTATCTTTCTATCTATCTATATCTGATCATCCATCTGTCTGTCTATATATGTATTTGATTTGCTGACATTTATCTAAGCACCAAGATCTATGACAGAAGACTATCACAGAACTTGATTTCTTTTTTAGTGAGCTACATGTTATGAGGTTTGCATGTCAAGTATCCTCTTCTTAAACTCTGAAATCCACAAGATGTCAGACAACATAGCTAAAGAGAGCAATATTATTTGTAGGCATGTACAGTTGAACCTCTGCATCTGAGAGTTCCACATCCACAGTTTTAATTCACCATGGATTGAAAATATTTGAAAGAAATTTCATCTGTACTGAACATGTACAGACTTTTCTTATAATTATTCCCTAAATAATTATTCTCTAATACCGTGTAACAATTATTAACATATCATTTACGTTATATTAGGTATTATAAGTAACCCAGAGATAACTTAAAATATACAGGAGGATATTTTATATTAAAATATACAGGAGGAGGATGTGCAGAGGTTGTATGTGTATACTCTGCCATTCTACATAAGATATCTGAGCATCCATGGATTCTGTATCCACAGGGAATCCTGGAACAAATCCTTCATGGATACCCAGGGATGACTGTAAACAAGTGCACATAATTCCTAACATTTATTTCAATCATGAGTTTTGTGTCAGAGTTGCATTATTACTAGTTTTATAAGTTTCCTCTATTCATTGTTTAATAATTTACAGAAGACATATAATTTATGTTAGAAATTTTGCAAATAATCAATCATAGGAAACTTATTGAAACAGTAAGACTCTTAGACAAAAATAATGGAGATATTTTTGATCTTCTTTAACAAACTCTTCATCATGCTTGATAGAATGTGTGATACAAAAGATCTTCAACAACTGATACAGTTACATTGACCAAAGAACTCACAGAATTGGATAGACAGGTTGTATGCACATTAAGTCATATAAAATAAAGGTATGTAATTGAGACTTTAGGGTGAAATATACTAGTGAGACAGAGTCTTGGATGTTATGGGACAGTGAGTCTCATGAGAGTGTTCCCTGAGAAGAGAAAAAAAAATAGAGCAGTTCCAGGTATCTGGAAATGGGCCAACAAAGAAACCAGAAGGGAGGTGACTGACAGGGAGCCACTAGCCATGTTATCCATGGGGTCTTCCAAAGGCAGCAATTACAGCAGATCATGAACCAAACACCCCAGGGACTCCTGGAGGTGGCCCAGAGTCAATGATACTGCGGGGGCTTGGGATACACAGGATGTTAAGAACAGTGAAGGATGCATCTTTATCAAACTGCAGCCAAAGCTGGCTCTGAGAAATCTTGAAAAAATGATAACGTATCTTCTGAAGCAGCACATATCTGAGTGCCTGCATGTGAAAGTGATTTGAGCACCCAGGCTAATGGCTGAGACCACTTAGATTTGAATCCTGGCTCTGGCTCTTGCTGGCCATGTCCTTGGGCAAACTGTTTAACTTCTTTGGGGCCTCAATGCACTAATCTAAAAATGTAGAAAAAATATTATTACCTCACAGGGTTGTTATGACAATTAAATACACTAATTGGGAAAAGCACTTAGACTAGGGCCTGACAGATAAGAAGCACTAGATTAGATGTTAGCTATTATTAGATGTCTTTTATATACTTAATGTTGGATGTCTACATTGTATTTTCTGTTAAGTAGGGCTTGTTTCAACTTTGGATATTCTTAGAAATGAGAAAGTGGGAATATGTCCTCTTTACTTGGGAGAAATTGATTTTACTAACCAATATGTTAATTAAGGTGAAACACAAGACAAGATGTAATTCAGTAATAAATTAATTGTGGCACAAAGATAGCATTCTCTATAGAATTAGAAAAGAAGACAGTGAGTAGTGAAATAATAAGAGGTTTCGTGGACCACACACTAGCTGTCTAGAGTGTCAGGGATGGGTAAGGTTGAAAGTTAGAACAGAACTCCCCTCTACTTCAGAAACTTAATGATTCTGTATGTAAATTCAATAGACAAAGCAGGATGAGTGCACATTAGGAAAATGATCTACTCAGAAAAAGGACTGAATTGGGAATAACGGAAGGGATGGATAGGGTTTGAGGCAGGCAATCAGATTATAAGAGCCTGGGAAGTAAGAGGTGGAAAATGCAAGTCAGAAACAATTATTAAACAGAGGAATGATGTGTCCTAGTTTATGTAACCAGATGCCCTTTAAGTCCACAAAGGAGAATGAGCCTTTTCTCTAAACTCATCTACACAAAGTTAAGAGGAAAGTTTAATTAGCAGAACACACTGCACAATATCTGCAAATGTGATGATAAGCCAGGCAGATCAACTCCCCACACCCATTTATGTCCTCTTCAAAGGGAAAGGGTGATGAATCACCAAGATTATGCTCTTTCTGGATCTGGGTGTGTCAGAGGAAACAAAAGGAAGAGAAGAGACTGGTCTCTGGCAGACAGTACCTATTTATCCTTTCTGTTTGGCCAGAGCCTGAAAGAGCTTTCTCTATCCAAATCCATATACAGCCTTTCTTGTTTTTTAAGTGGGAGGAGGAACCATTAGTAAACCTTAACATTATAATTATCTAAATAATGACACATCTCACACACAGATCCTGTAGCCTAGCCACTGTTTCCTTACTTTACTTTTTTGTAGCTGTCTCCATGCAACTCCTGAACCTCTGACCTCACCCCATTGCCACACCCATCCTTGTGTCTCCCACTCCACTGTCCATTTTAAAGAAAGGAGCTCCACTCAAATCTTCTCCTTAAGTAATACTTGAGAGGTTCTTTAATCATTCTGATATTTTCCATCAGAAATTTACATAAACAGATTATTTCTTTTAATGTAATACATGCTTTTGAAAAAATAGTAATTATAATAAAACCTCTCCCAGGTTTTACTTTTTCTCTTCCCTTTCTGAAATGTACACTGAAGATTCTCCCCATTCCAAATGGTGAGTTAATTATACCAGAAGTGGGTTCCTGGAGCTGCCTTGAGCTCCCAGGATCTCCAGGTTCTATGACAGATACCCTCTGCTCTTCCTCAGGTTAGGCTGTGGGTCTTTCCTGGGTTGTGTCGCACAAGGGACCTGTTTCCATTAGTTGAGACAATTTGAGAGTTCCTGGTGCTTGAAACAAAAGCTTTAAATTCCTACCCACATCTTCAAGCTAGTATCTCTGGCTGTAGTCCATTAATATCTATAATTTTATTAATAGATATAAACAAATGCTTCTTCCAGAGGAATTGTACTATTAAAGGTTACTTTTCAAGGCTGAAAAGAAAAAAAAAACCTACCAGATTCCCATAATGAATTTCTAATAGTAGAATTTTAAAAATTTAGGATTTTTTTAAAGAAATAGAGGGTCTTTCTGGTTTTATGTAATCATATCAAATAGTTTTGCTTCTGGGAAAACTGTGGATTAGAAAGACAGAAAAACTGGATCTTAGTCCTCACTCTTTTTTTTGCTTCTGTTAATTGTGGGCAAGATCCTTTTTCTCTGGATCTGTTTTCTCTCTTGAATGTTTGTTGTCAGAATAAAGTATAAGGTCTCTTCCACTTCTAATATTCTGCAATTCTGCAATACTCCTTCTATCCAACCACAAATGCAGCCTATCCATTGAGGCTCATGAAACAGCAATCTCTGAGACAAACAGAATTTTAACTTAGCACATCTAAGTTAAGTGTCACTGAACCCCTGGAATGCAGAGTCTTCACTGTACATTCTAGACAGGGAAAGAAAAGGTTAAATCTGGGAGAGATTTTTATTACAATTATTGCTTTTTCACAAGCACATATGTATTATTCACAAGCATATATATATTACAAATTTATGTAAATTTCTGGTTGAAAATATTAGAATAATTAAAAATTAGACTCAAAGAAGTTTCGCTAACAAGTTACAGGAAAGAAAGAATCGTTTTTCTCTACTTAAACTGTTTACTGGGATAATTTCAGTTGACATTTGTCCAATACTTAACATAGACTGGGAATTCTGCTATCTATTCAAAAAAATTTAAAAGGATCATATGTTCTAAAATGAACTGCCCTTTGGACAATGATTTGGGGGTCTAACTGATATTCACCTTATTCTGTCTAGATTCTTACCCTGATGTACACCAGTGTTTTCTCAGACTTGCTTATCAAAAAATAGATTAAAAATAGAAGACAGTCACAGGTCTTTGACCAAATAGTCCAGTATTTGTATTTGTATTGTCTCACAAATTGTTTTTCTGGACAGAGTTCAAGTAGAACAACCAATTTATTTATGTCAGTCTTTGTTCTTTTCTGTGCCCTTTTATTGAGCAATCTGTTAGATGAAAAGGCTGGTTAGCAAACTATAGTATGCTACAGAAACACTGACTAAGGCTTTCTGCCTCACACACACATTGCTCTATTTCTGTCCTTTGGAAACAAGGACACAAGCTGGTTCTAAAAATGGGAGCTTCATGCCAAGGACTGGTCAAACTGAGATTACCTCAGATTGGACCATGTGTCTGTACACATACCCATGAATATATTCACTGCTCATCTTACTTGGTAAAGTGACTTGTTGCTTCCAGGTCTGTGTCTTGTGGACGAAGATTATCATATACATATTTCAGGTCTTGGATTCCATTTAACTCAGGTAATCCTGCATGCAGCATCTTAACACCAACAAAATCCAAAACAAACAAACAAACAAAAAACCCCAGAATAAATGCAGATAAAATCAAATTTACTTGGTTCAATCTACTGATAGAAATAACTTTGCATAGCAATGTCTTTCGGTTTTTATACACAAATGAAAGTAAATTCATGCTTTTAAACCTTTCCTATTGAGTGGTAGAAACAAATAACAACAATAACAAAAAAACCCACTATAATTGACAAGGTGTTTGTACATTAATAATTGAAGTTTATTCTCATCATAAACCAGTGAAGTAAGCATGACAATATTATTATTCACATGTCAGAATTTCTGGTCCTACCATTTAAAAGCTCAGCAATTTCGAGAAAGTCTCTTTGAGCCTCCATTTTCTCATGTCTTAAATACTGAAAAATTACATAACATATTCTGGGAGAATTAAATGGCTTTATGGATCACACAATATTACAGAAAAATACACATAATATTCATTTTAAAGAAGATAAGCTTAATCTTTAGAAAATGTGAGTGACAGTCTAGGTCAAGTGTTGGGCAAAAGCAAAGCATAAAACTCACCCGTCTGGTTCTTAATCCCGTGTTCTTTCATAACGTCGTGACTCACAGTATAAGAACACAATTTCTCTTGGTTGAGTGGTGACTATATTTATTAAAGATTATTAAAGTAATGACATAATTATGGATAGAATTATACAGGTATTTTTCTGCAAATCTTTAGGAAGATACTTATACTGTAGAGTGAAGGGGTAGTATTCTCTTTAAAGGTAGACAAAATTCTTTGAGAAAACTATTCTGGGAATGGGAGGATAAAGGAGAACAGTGGAGGGGGTGAATTCAAATATGATATATTTGATATGTTGTAAGAACTTTTGTAAATGCCACAATGTACCCCACCCAGCACAATAAAAAAAGTAGATCCTTTTTAAAACAAACTTGATCTTTGTAAATAAGAAAAGGAGGAGGGGGAGAAGGAGGAAGAAGATGTTAGGTGTTATTGGTACCTCTGTGACTGAGAAGATAAATTATTTCCTGCTCTGGAATAGAGTTACTCTTACAATGAGAAGTTAATCTTAACAATAAAGGAAAAAATAGGAATAGGTTGTGGGTAATGGATAAGGTGGATGTGACTTGGAGACGTTCAAATGAGAATAAAGTGGTTTTGAAACTGCTATCTGTCTTACTGTCCCCACCCAGGTTGAGGGAGGCCATGATATTTCCAGTGTGTTCACAGAAAGAACTAAATTCCAGGAAGGAGTCCCAGAATACACAGTATTATGTAGCAGAGCACCAACAGATAGGGATGGGAAGGTGAATGGGGTAGAACATTTTAGCAATATTAAAGATTGTTTTTAACAATATCCTAAAGGCAAGAGATAGCTTGCCAAATGTTTTAATATGTAAGAGAATTTATTTGTGTTTTAGGAAGATCAGTAGTTAGGTATCAAAAATGGATTAAAGAGGGGCCAAATAAGAAAGTGGGTCAGGAATTGATTTGGAATGAGATTATCACTAGATTTCAAAAACATACAGGAGCTAGGTGCTGCTGGCTCATGTTATTCCTAGCTACTCAGATGGCTGAGATCAGAGGATTATGGCTCAAGGCCAGTTGGAGTAAAATGTTTGGGAGACCCCAGCTCAACCAATAGCTGGGTGCAGTGGCATACATCTGTCATCCTAATTAGAAGGATCATGATCCAGGCTGGCCTTGACAAAAAGTGAGACCCTGCCTCAAAAATAATCAGAGAAAAAAGTACAGGAGGCATGACTCAAGTGGTAGAGCTCCTGTCTAGCAAGCACAAAACCCTGTTCAAATCCTGGCACTACTGCACAGGCACACACATACACGAAGTAGGTTTGAGAAAACTGGGTGATTGATTGGATATGTTGAGAGAGGAAAGGAGTCCAAAGAACACAACTGCAAATACAGCTTTGGGAGTCATTAGTATATAAAAAACCAAGTAAATGGATCAGCTAGTCTTGGGGAGCTGCCCACTGCCTTTCCTCATGGATGGTCCACTGTCATCTCAAGTTTGCCACATCTAAATCTGAGCAAATTCTCTCCTTCTGTAAACCTTTCCTACATTATTCTGTTCCATACCTCTATCTACAAACTAACAAGAAATTCATATCTTCTTTGATCCTTCTTTTTCCCTATTTTCATCACTAATTACTTTTTAATTCTATTTAAAAAATCCCAGTAGACTTTTGTGTTCATTCCACTTTTCATTATAATCACTGTTTGTCCTAGTGCAGCTATTCATCTCCATTTGCCTATATTTCTTGAATATCTTATTTTCTTTAATCCTTTGCTCTTTAATTGTGGAACCTTTGAATTTTCTGTCTAAAATCCAAGCAAGATAATGGTGTGCTCTTCTCCATAAACAAATATGCTTCTCATTTCTCAAGTGTCTATGTACTAAAGAAGAAAATCTTCATTGTGGTAATAAATGTCTTTCATAATATAACTGTGTCTTGTCACTGCAGTCTTATCACTTACATAGATTGCCATCTATACCATAGACTAGGACCCGTTGGTTACCATTCTTTCCACACACATCATGCCTATTCTCTTCAAATACTCACATATTACTCCCAGTCAGAAATGCCTCTTCTTGCCTCTCCTTCCTTTCACTGAAAATCTTTTTCAAGACTCATTTTGAATATTTCTTCCTCTTGGAAGTCACTGTTCCTCTTGAGATTTAATTACTGATTTCTTTGTATACCAATCATAACTTTATTTTATCTCTTTTACCATATTAATTCCTAGTTCTTATGTTTCCTTCTTGAAATCCTTTTCATGTTAGATTTTTAAGTTCTTTGGGGACAGAAACTGAACTTTTAATTGATGTTGAACTGTTTATGTTTGTAAGTAGTTGGAACTTAATGAATGTCTGCAGAATAATTATGAATGAATAAATGAATGAATGAATGATGTGAATGATTTGAATGAAATGAATGAATATGAATAACATGAATGAATAAATCAATGAATGGAAAAATACCTGATGCTATTTTAGCCTACTGTTAAAAATCAAAATCACCCACAGTGAGACACATTTTCAATAGCATCCAGCAACTAGAATCTAGATTAAGACATCTGTGTCCTTATTGAGATGATTTTCTTTTTTAAAAGTCTATCATATGTGATCATCCATCTGCTAAGAACAGGCTTCTTCTCTAGGGTTGGAACTGCATTCCAGTTTCTCTAAATCCCTGCTAAGAACAGGCTTCTTCTCTAGAGTTGGAACTGCATTCCAGTTTCTCTAAGTCCCCTGAATTCACACCTGCTTGGTCAGGACTCTATAAAACATTCTAAACACTTTCTTGGGATACTTATTCTTTTTCTGATGGCACACACACACACACACACACACAATATACCAGCTGCTCAGAGCAGACTGTGTCAAACTAGATGACTTCCTTACCCCATCATGTTTGCCCTTCCTGTGTTCTGTTCTTTGGAGATGAGTTTGGATGTATGAGCAAGGGTGGCCTCATAGCTGGGCCTACTCAGTGGTATCTGTCTTGAGACCCATGGCAATGTGGTTCCAGTGCCTCCTAGTCTAGACTGGGCAATAACTGTAGCTGGGACAGGAAGGCAGGAGAGCGAACTACAGCAGGTAGGTAATGAACAGATACATATAATGAACAGATGAGTCAGTTTTTGAAGGACAGAGTGTTTTTAAAGTTTCTACTTGGGTTCATCTCTTGCTAAATCCAAATCTGTTGTGATAGCTATGCTTAGGGAAGGAGCACTGTGTTCTTCCACATAGAAAAGTTAGAAAGATTTCTGCTGGGAAATATATGTTATAATAATGGTGTGATAAACATTTTAAACTGGGCAAATGGTCCTTGTGTTCTTTGGGAGTCTTTCATAATAGTTAATATTGATTTTTTAATGAGAGAAAAGCTGATGAAACATAAGCTTTTATGTTAGTGAGCTCAGCCAGCAACACTCTTGGGTCTCCTACGATGTTGCTTTTAAGCAAGATGGGAATGTCGTAGATTTTTTTCCCTTGCTATTCCCGGGAGGAAATGAAAAACAGTGCAGATATCTGGAAACATGATGCTTTCTGCTGACGAAGAGCCATTAATTCCATCGTTAACCCACCAAGTGCTTATAGCTCATCATCCTGGGTACTGTCCACTCATGGCAGATAAAATTGATGACCCACATCAAGTATTTCTCAACTGACAAGCCAGTTGTGGCACAGTGGATTTAACTAGTTTTAAAGAGTTTAACACAAAAATCAGTTTGAGATAGAATTGAGGAAAAGATAGATTAAAGAAGAAAATAATCTTTCACAAATTTAAACTTGGCTTTTATTTTATAAAAAGTTTTATCAGAAAGCATATGGACCCGAAAACCTTCACTAACTGCTTCATCTGCAGAGTCTCATAAGACACACAAAGGAGAAAAAGAAAAGAATTGGGAGGTAGATGACCAGAAGCTAAGGCAATCACACACTGCTTGTTTTACATATGTTTTATTCATGGGTTTAACTGAGCCTCATTACTTCTGATCTGTATTTCAGTTTCTGAGAAAGTCTAAATCTAGGACTTTATGCTTAATTTGAATTAGTATCCTCCACTGTCAGATATTTTTTCTTAGTTTAAATGTCAAACTTGATTCAATTAGAACATTAACAAATTTTTTGGACTATAACAGAACTTTCAACAGCTGATTATAATAATATTTGTGATTATCTCAAAAATTGTGATTAAAAAATCATATATCTACTTCTTTTCAATGAAGTAACATTACATGAATTTCTTTCTTTTAGCTGATTAAATGTTTAAAAAATTAATTTTTTTCCTAATACATAAATTTCTTAATGATTGTTTAGTATAACTCATATGCTGAATCTTTTTTAAAGGACTGTAGAAAGTTCACTAAACAAGTGAAAAAATAGCTTTCCAAATCTATTTTTTGAGATGCTGTTCTTTCATAAAATTTTAACAAACACAATTTTCATCCAGCATAATTTTAGTGTCACCTGAGAAATATCATAAACTATATTTGTATTTTTCTGCTGTAGATTTAGTTTTGAAATATCTGTGACTGGTTACTGCAGTTGTTAGAATTTGGAACTACTCTTTTTATGCAGTTATTTTTGGCATCACAGACAGAAGTGCTAGTTACTTAAATATACAAATTTTATCTTCCTTACTAAACTCTGACTGGGTCTTCTATGTATTGTACCATTTGTAGTTTCTGGCATATAGTAAGCACTCAAGAGCTCATGGATTTGTGAGCTAGAGCCTGATAAATTCTGAGAGGACATTAGAGTTGATATCAGCTGAATATTTATTATGTACATAGAGTCAGGTTCATGGTCTTAGTCCTTGTAGCATTTCCTTTGTGGTTTGGACTTGGCCTGTTATAAACTATACAAGGCATACCACAGTTGCAATATGGTCGAATAGAATTGGGAATCAGTGCAGATGTATCAAAAGAAATAGCTGGCCATTATTGGAAAGTCAAGTTGCAGATATCTTTTTTTTTTAGCAGTACTAAACATAGAACCCAGGGGCTTATCTTACTAGGTAAGTAAGTACTCTGCCACTTGAGCCATGCTCACAACCCCAGCCTACAGATTCTGAAGATGGTTAGAACCTTAAGCATCCGGTTTACACAAGAAGAAACCAAAGTGTCTGTTTATATGAAGGACATGTTTATAATATTTTTAAAAATCCTTATACTTCAAGACAGAGAGGAAAGAAGTAAAGTTGCTTTGTTGTTTGAAACTTAAAATCAGAATCCAAATCAACTCTTCATTCCAGCAAAGTCAACAATTATTCAGCACTACACAGTAGAACTCTTCTGCAATGACAGATATTTTTATATTTGTGCTGTCCAATATGTGCCACTAATCATATGTGCCTACTGAGCACTTGAAAAGTGGCAAGTGAGAAAGAAGAACTGAATTCTTGACTATATTCAATACAAACTATTTTAAATAATCACATGTGACTAGAAGATACTATATTGGACAGTGTTCTTGTTAATTAACAAGGATATAGTGTTATAACATTAATTTAACCCTATACGACAGGTGATTTCTAAGTGTTATATTAATTACGAATAGGGTTATTATGAAATTTAATCACTTAATATCCATAAAGCACTTATCACAATGTCCGTCCATGCAAAGCATTCCTTATTGGATCATTTGTTCATCAGCTCTATAGCGTACTCTTATCTACTCTGTAGTAGATAAGGAAAACTTTTTAGGGCTAAATAACATGCCCTAATGAATGTAACCAGGAAAATGCCAAGCTGTGATTCAAATTCATGGAGCCTCAACCATCAACCCTATTCCCTTAGATAGCACTTAGTAGAATTATTGTCATCTGAAAGGTTAAAGAGTAATTTTTAAAATTAACTCCAAATTCCATACTGATGAGTCAGTGGTACATTTCTCTCCTACAAATTGTTGCAATTACTGATATGTATGCATGTGCTCAAAATCACCACATCTTTCTGCCAGAAGACATTTTTATCAGATCCTCTCTCACTTTTACTGTGTCTCACAGTAAAGTGAAACATTAAATATCTTTTCTTGGTCAACAGAGTAGATAGAACCATGGCTCACAAGACCTTGTATACACCACTAAGTGCACTCCCCTCTGGTTCAATAGCTAGTAAGTCAGTTTATCTTTTTGACTTTCAGTTTCTTAATCAAAAAAGTAGGCAAGAGATCAGGACAAGGAATCAGGAAAATTCTTACTTAATTTACATAATTAAATTGATATGATGTATAAATGAGATAGCATTTTTAAGGCATTTTAAAAATCCTAATGCATAATACAACCAATGGCATTATTTTAAAAATTATTGCCCTTGAACCTGAGCCAAAATACACTGGTATAACCTCTGAATACACCAATATTGTTGTGAGTAGGAATATTTGAGACAATAACTATGAACCAACATATTGAGCTGTCAAGAAATGTGCTTATAAATTGTACCATGGTCCTCTTTGTTTGTTCATTCCTTTTTGTTTTAAATAGCTCTTTGGGGAACTCCAAGCCATTAGCAAAAATTGAATACTGCAAGAGAGACATGAATGAAGCTTATTATTTTTGCTTTTTACCCAAGAGACTTACCATTTCTAACAGGTTTAAGAGCAGTCGGCTGTGCTTTCTGGCGATATTATATGCTCTGCAGCAGAGCTCCACAAAATCTTGGAATTGCTGTGGATTTTTTCCACCCTCTGTAATAAAGTAGTCCATTTCTGAAGTAAAAATAAAAGGGGCTCGGTCCCTATAAGCCAAAAACAATAACCATAATAAATGAGGAGAAATGGTTTGTAGGGTTAAAATAGGTAGCTATGACAACTTATTTGCACCTGGATTTTTTTGCTATTTTCTCTTTACTCTAGTGGATGAATCTACCTCACTGTATGACAGCATACAAATTGAGGGCTTTGAATAACTGGGGCTGTGACAGAGAAGAGAGAATAAGCTGTGCTACCATTTTGACCTATGTTGTCTGAACTTTTTAATTACAAATTACATTTGCAGAAAATATAAGCTCCAGTTAGGTATAAAGGTAATATCTATGCAAAGTCTTTAGAGAAAGTATATTTATTGAATTTTGAAATGATTAAAACAGATTATGAGTATGACCTACTGCATTAAAAAGAAAAACAATTTTCTTTCCCTTTAAGATAAGTTGACCCTTTAGGGAAAAAGGTTTGAGTAAAATCTAAGATATAGTAGTAAGTTCTTTCATAAGGCAATTTAGAAAAAAACAGTTGCTACCTATTCATTGTCAGGTGCATAGTGAAGGAAAAAGAAAGCTAACTTCTTTTTCATTTTGTACTTGACCTGTTAGAAGTGCTGATCAGATAGGAAGGTAGGAAGGCATAAGCCACGATGTTGTTACATAAGTAGTACTGCCTTCCAGAGTCTCCAGGGTGGAAAAACAGGAAAATAAAGGAGCAGAGAGAAAGTGGCCATGTTTCCATAACTTTTTAAGTCTTAGGGAGGAACGGAAATATTTTTGTTTCATGAGTTCTCACTCATTGAACAGACTGATGATGAAACAGAGTTTGTTTTTGTTTTTTAAACAATCTTAAATTTGTTTCAGCAAGACTTCTTTAAAATCCATTTTGGGGGTACAGGATCAGATACACAGCTCAGTGGTAGAGTGTTTGCCAAGCATGAAAGAGGCCCCCGCAGAGCCAAAAGAAAAAGTAATAATAAAGGTCCATTATGAAGCCTACTAGATACAGTACTACATATGTTGTAATATGCAGTCCTTGTCTTGGAAGAGCTTGCAGACTGGGAGAGAGGACAACATTTGTAACAAACAATTATAACATAGGCTGAAAGTAGGAAGTGCTTCTATTGCCTCACTAAAATGTATAGTCTATGAAAGCAAAAACTTCATTTTGTTCACTGCTATATCAGCAGTAGACAGACCAGAGCCTGGCACATTGGTACTCAATGAAGAATTGCTGAATAATGTATAGGACTAAAGTAGAAGGCAATTTTAATGTCAACTAAGTAGATAAGGAAATCGTACTTTTAAAAATAGATAGAACTTAAGATATAGAGATGTAAAGAAAGAACTAATATTCATGGTCCTCCTACAACATCTAAGAAACTATGAGCTGCCTCTCTCTCTATCATCTCATTTAACTATCATGTCAACATTTTAAGCTGATATTACATCCCCATTTCACAGACAAGCAAACTAAGGCAGAGAGTTTAAGTAACTTTCCCAAGGTGACACACCTGAAAATGGCAGAACTAGGATTAGAGCCCAAGTCTCCAAACATCCTGCTTTGGAATTTAGAAGTCATTCCCTTTGATGGTTTTTCTTTCTTTTTTGGAATATTTGCATTTCTAACAATATTTTTATTATAATATAACTAATATATCATAAGATTCACTGTCTCAAAGCACATAATTCAGCAGTATTTAGTATATTCACAGATTTGTGCAACTATAGCCATTAGAACATTTAGAACATTTTTACCACACTAGAAGGAAATCCCATACTCATTAGTAATCACTTCTACCCCCAGTCTCTGGAAACCACTAACCTACTTTCAATCTCTACTAATTGCATATTCTCGACATGAAACAGAGTTTTGATACCAGTTTGTCTTAAAGTCTTCTAGAAGCATTTGCAGTGGAAATATTACCAGAATCTGAGGTTCACACTGCAATTTGCTATACTGAAAACCAGGGAAAGAGAAGGAGGAGGAAGAAAACAAGTTCATACAAAATAGGTCCTGAAGAAGACAGAGAAGATGCTTCATTGCGAATCTCTCTTACGGGGTTCAGAGTGAAGAGCTTTTGTTGGAGGGAAAAAGGGGAACACAAGGCAGGCAGTCTACACGCTGAGTCAAGTCTTCTTTATCCAGAGATATCATTTTTCCTCTTCTCTGGCAGGAAGTTCACAATGGAGATTTTTCTCTTACAGCTTATTAAATCAAACCTGAAGAAAAGCTTCTCTTCAGCAAAAAGAATTAGGGAAGGGTAGTAGGACGAGTTCAAATGAACCCCTGTTCCAGGAACACAGTTTGGAGTAAAAAGGATTGAAATAAACGTGTTTTAAATTTTAGTCTTGCAAATAAATTTAGAAGTCATTTGAAAAAACCCCACAGCTTGAGGGGGCTTCCTTATTTTTTTTAACTAGGGAAAACTGTTCTTTATTATTGCTATGCTCACCTATTTTGATAAAAGTAGAATAGTGGGGAATTACATTAATCTGACTTAACCAGACTTTTTAGATGCATGGAAATCCAAATCAGAAATCCACTCTGGCCTCTGGGGAAGTGGACTCTAACTGCAGGGAAAACATTAAAAAAAGAAAGAATGCAGCTTTGTTAGTTATGATTTTTGTGGTTATTTTATTTTAAAATATTATTTTGGAATTCATGTTACCAGTGACTATTCAGAAACACAGCTGGGGTTTTACTCAGCTCCATTTTCATCCAGTTATTCATTCAACAAAATGTGTTGAGCAACTATTGAAGAATGTAGTATCAAGTATGAAGTCTAAATTCTTAAATTTTTTTTGGTTAAAATTCTTTTATATTGGGTCTATCCTGACTTTACAACTTATTTTCTATGATTCACTTTACAAGCCCTTTATTGTAGCTAAGCTGGGAGGAGAGATATTGAAAGCATGAGATAAAGCACAGATTTGATTCCTGGATCTGCTCTATCTCCGCATCCTCATCTTCAGAATGGGCACACAATACTAGCTCTTAGAATTTCTTTGGGGGGTGACGAAAAATGCCTGGCTCATGGCGAGGGATGCTCACCTGTGAAGTGCTGTGGTTAGAGAGAGGTCTATGCAGAGGGCACAGACAGCAGGTACTATTTGCCAGGACTCAAATCAGGATTCTGTCACTTACTAGTTCTGTAACTTAGGCAAGTAACTTACCTTCTACATAGTCAACCTTCCTCCTCTAAATATTGGAGGTGAAAGCACTTCCCTTCTGAGGTTGTTGAGATGATTCAGTGACTTAAATCATGCAAAAGTGCTTAGAACACAGCACAGCACATAGTAATCATTCAACAAATTTTAGATATTGTTATTAGTTTCCAAACAAGTGTTCTCAGAGGTGAACTTTATCATAGCTACCTCTTCCTTAGTCTTCTAACTTACAAAAGCCATCAGAAAATCTCATCTTTGCTCTAAGGTTAAATTTACCCCCAACTTATCCATGTGACTTTTCTGGCTGCATAAGTACTTAAGTGGAACTTTGAACTTGGGGACATTTTTATATATTACTCGCCCTTGTTGTCACCACTATTACCAACATCTAGCAAAGTTTGCAGAAAAACTTTATTCTAGAGCAGAAAAAAATATTGATTTCATATGTAACAGTTTTTTTTTTGTAACAGTTTTCTAAAACCTTTTTCCCTACTCTCTATGCTTTTTTTTAAACAAAATATTCTATGCAAAATAAAATGGAACTTTGGAAAGATTTTTAGAAGAGTGTTAAACTATACAACCTCCTGAAAACGTCTCCCCTAATATAATGGATCTGCTTTTCTCTCTTCAGCAGAGAAACTACGGTGGACTAAATTGGTTTCTCTTGGAAAGTTTTTGTGGCCACGCTCAAGTTCATAAGATAACACATTTCCTTCTTCCTTGGTTACCACCATTATAAACCAGATACAGAAACATGGTACAGAAAATACATAAGGCAAATGTATCCAAATTAGTGAAAACTGTAAACTAATAAGATTATTAAAAAAGAAATTTTAGCTGGATAACATTATCCAAGTAGAAATGGTCAGTGAGTCCAATAAAATAAAATGTTGCACCTTTTCTATAGGATTTTTGTGGCTTATTTCTGAGCAATTTGTTTAAAAAATCAGAATTACACTAAAAATTTTTTAATAAATAAAAAGAATTCTCACGTTAAAAAAATCCCATTTCACCCTTATAAGCCATAGGAGTTTTAGATGTGATGTGGTTTATCAGTTGACTTAAATGTGAACCTAATCCTAGTAGAATTAATGTTGTAGGGACTGTTTCTGAAGTTTAGTATTACTTATAAATCTGAGGTATAAATTGGGTGTGCCAAGAAGAAATACAGAAACCCATCTCTTGGAAGTCTATATTACTATTACATTCTGATTCAAATGTTGACAATCTCTCACTTGTAGTTACATAAAAACATTATAAAATTTCTGTGAGTATCCTAGTTTTTTTTCCCCTTTAGATTAGTGGTTTTACCATTGCTTGTCTAAGTCCTGCCTCTTTTTGCTTCCTTACCTTTAACCTGTAATTTTTCCCAACTTAGTGCATGCTCTCTCTTTCCTTCTCTCTCTTTCACTCATCTTTTTGTGTAAGAAATCTTCTCTAACCTATCTTGTCAGAAGTCTTATGAATTTTTTTTACCCAAGCGACAGGAATGATTTTTAAGGGGAGATGAAGCATTCTTTCTTCCCTTTGTAAGTCTTTTTATTTATTTATTTATTTTATTGTTTTATTATTCGTATGTGCATATAAAGCTTGGGTTATTTCTCCCCCGTGCCCCCACCCCTTCCCTTACCACCCACTCTGCCCCCTCCCTCTCCCTTTGTAAGTCTTAATGCCTGAGACAATGTTTTGATGATATTCTGTTATATGCAGTGAATGTAGCAATAACTCAACACAACTCATGCAGTGAATAGCTTGAGATGTTCTAACATTTATGTGAGAAGGCCAAATGAATGAACTTATTTGTTGTCATTCTATCATTTTGCTGTCAAATTAGTCTTTTTATAAAGTTATGACCAGTTTATCCC